TCTAGAAAGTTTTGTAGTTGTTTAACCTCCATAGACCATCATATGCACCTACGCATCACCCCTGCGTGTGTACATCATCCATGTATCCGATATATTGAGGGACATTGAATTCAAATTTTAGAGTTATCGAATCGAGATGTAGGTAAGAGTCAAGTTAATACTTTACTACCTTTTGAATGCTTTAGTGAACTTGTTAGTAATTGATTACTGCATGAATAATCATGTTTTTCCATGTGTTTACTATTGATAAATTTTAAACCCGTATTGAATGCGATGAAAGAATAATAAATTGATCAAGACTCAAACGATTCAAAAGAGAAATTTGAGGAGCGATAATAAATTCTAAGTTAAATAATCAATTGATAACACAATTCACCTCAAACATCTTTAGTTATGATTATTTTGGTTGTAAGATTTAATGCATGAATTACCATGATGATAAATGATAATAATAGCCTTGAGATGTAAAAATGACATAGATTGCCACTGGTAGTAGAAATGACTTGAGAATTTATACTTGACCTGATAGGACCACTGATACACCGGTTAAATTTTTAATCTGTTTGAAAAACTATGATAATTAGTTTCTAACCTTTGGGATTCAAAATACATAAATCTTTTGATTTCTGAATAATTATTTGAAGACTAATTTACTAAATGTAGGATATATGACTAAATTGGTTGAAATAACTAAAATATTCTCGAGTATTGAAATGACCTAAATACCTTCATGACCTGGGTTAAGTGAATGTCTTTGGATAAGTTTTGAACATTTCATTAAAGCTTTAAATATTGTAACACCACTAAGGGTTATGGAGTACGACCTAAGTATATTGACCATCCTTGATACTATTAGAATAGTGAAAAAATACCCCATGAATACATGTTGACCTCCTCGAGGCATGTTTAGTGATGGCACTTAGAAACAAATATTCATGAAGCGTTTATGTCCAAATAATCTATAAATATTGTGTTACTAAACTATGGTTCGTTCAATGGAATTTGGAAACCTGATAAATTGTAAGAAATCTTAAATATTTCTAGTGTAATAGTTCTTGAATACCTTTTTGATATGTCCAAACCCTAAATGGTCCCGATGCATCAATTTTTGAATATCTAAGTGGAGCCGTTAGTTATCAAACCCCTCTAAATAGGGATCCCATTTATGAAATTAGAGAAAATTTGTTAAAATTTTTATGTTCCCTCCCTAGTAATTACTAGGTATCTCTGAGAAATAAAATGGACGTTCTAGTGCATTACATGTGCATTTGAACATTTTCTCTGCTTTTTAAATACTGAGACTATTTTATCTGATTTTAAAATCATTACTCTGTTATTTAAAATAAAAACAAAATATGTGATTTCTTATAAAAATATATATATGCTTTATAATTTCTATTATTACTATTTTACTATTCTAGTGTTGGTTGTTGGAGGAAGTATTGCAAGCTTAGTTTATGACTTGAAAGACCTTATTGTAGGCTCATTTTCTTTTTGCATAGGGAAAGTCCTTACCGTAAGTCCTTATGCTACATGAAAATGGTCCTTATTGGGTGTACATGTGAGTGTATGGTTCAGGGAAACCTACACATGCAAACGTTCAGATGTAGGGTATTTAGAGAATTTTTAAACTAAATTATAATTTCCATGTAAGAGTTTGTTTTACTAAAATAAATTATTACTGTTTAAATTATTTGTACACTTTTCTACATTGATGGAGTACACTAGGCTCTCATACTTAATCTTCATAATTTATCTTTGTTTGATTCTTCGGATCTATAGATTTCTCGATTGTTACCTTGAGGAACAACTAATGGAATTTCAAGTCATAATCAAAATTTGTATATGCCTGAATCAGATTGAAAATTTTATGCTTTACTATATACTTACATATGGCTTGTTACATCATTTAGTAATTCTATATTACTAAGATTTTCTTAAAGCTCACTCTATTACTTACCATTTCAAGTTAAAGGAATTGATATGATTCAATTAACATCATTAATGGAATTTTCATCAATGGTTCTTGTAGATTACGGTACACGTGTAATTAAGGGGCATGTAGGTCACATATTATTTTTATATTAGAGTCTAAACATGTTTTTATAATGTGTACTATTGAATTCTATTTTAATGTTTGAACAATTTCTGAACTTATATTTTTTGTTTATTTTGAAATTGGTTTGATCTTAAATGGTTTGATAAAAGTTTTTGTTTCCAGTATTTTTATTGTGGTCTGCTCCGATTACCTTAATGTGACACCTCATATTGGATCGGGTCACCCCTATCGGTCTAAGGGTAAAGTATTAAAATGTCAAATATTTAGATGAAAATCAATTTTGAGTGAATTTCATGGTAAACTAATTCTTAGAGAAGAAAGAGGCGTAAAATGTGAATGTTTTGGTATTGATCTTACTATGAATGACTACAAATGATAGGTGATAATTGACCAATAGTGACAACTAGAGTAGTTGGTGATTATTTGTAGGGATCAAAATGATATGAAAACTAACTTCAATTGGACCTGATGAACCATGTTTTTACTCATTTATAGATTAGTTTGTGGTAGTGTTCTTTGATGACATTTTGGTGTATTCTCGTTTGGAGGAGGAGCATGATGTAAAATCATCAATGGTGTAGCTTTATAGCAATTTTAATTTGGTAGTTTTAATTTTTAACTCATTAAATTGTCATGAAATTCATTGACAACAGATTTACAGTACTGTGAAAATAGAACATTCTTTTTATTAGTCACTGGGTGTAACTTTTCAAAGAAGAAATATCGAAGAAATATCTTTCCATTTTTTTTTATTAAACTGGACATTTATTATGGGTTAAATAAAATTTTGTTACATATAATAACCGAGTAACATGTCTAGCCTGGTGGCAAGGGCCATCCCATTTCACGCCCTTGTCCCAGGTTTGATTCTCATTCCCCACGTTTAGGAGCTCTTTATCCCTTCTATCCAATACGCATAAATTTAATTTTTAAACAAAAAAAAAATGATGACGTGTTAATTCCATGTCAGCATATATTAGTGACGTGGAAATGCCACATCATCATTGTCCACCTGTGATGCTTAGTCAGTTAGACCTGTTGACCGTCAATTGACTGACGGTCTCCATCCAATGGGGGGCTTCTGAATCATATTTAAACGTTGTGGGGACAAATGCTCCAAAAAAAAAAAATAATACGGGCAAAAATGCATATAGTGTCAAATGTTAGGGGCATTTGTTTGCATTATGCCAAAAAAACCTCAAAACTAGTATTTTTGTTAATGTAAAAATAAAAATTTAAATTTAAAAAGTATAAATATTTATTAAATATTAATCAAGTCGGGATCGAATTAAAGAATGATAAGTTTGTTCTAAAATTTTTGGTCTAATTAAAATTTAAGTAATTGTAAGTTTAAATATTAGACAAATTAGAAGTTGTCTTTTAAGTTTTGAGTTTTTTTTTTTTAATTTATGGTGAATACAAAGTAATATAAGTACAAAGACTTTTAACTATTTGACAATGAACGCTCATGCCTCTACATAAGTGCTTGAACTTGGGACCTCAATGATAACAACAATCCCTTAATCACTAACGTCACTTGGTTTATGCTAAATTTCGAGTTTAAATAACTAATAAGTCTTTATATTTTTTTAAAATAATTTAATATTTCGACCCCTTTCAATATTTAATTCCAGCTTCATTCATGTCCTTCCTTGATTGGAAGTCCTGTCAATTCTTGCTGTATTATTATTATTATTATTATTATTATTATTATTATTATTATTATTATTATTATTATTATTATTATTATTATTATTTCTGGATACTGAATTTGTATTGTGAAACCTGAATCTAAATATGCTTTAAGGAAGAGGAGATTTTCTCTGTGGTAGTCTATCCGACAAGTGTTTGCAATGTATATATTAATGCCTCGGATATGGATATGTAATTTTTCAATTATTTGGCATGGCAAAGGTTTTATATTTGGTGTGGAGGGTTTGCTTTTTACGTATAATAATAATTTAAAATAATTGCCAAAATAAAACAAGTAATCAGCTATTTTAAATAATATTAAATTATAATTTCTCTCTTAAAAATTAATTTTTTATTTAAGCTGAAACTATTTTTTAACTTGACGGAAAATATCTTTTTGAAAAAAAAATATATATTTTAAAATGAAATTATCATTCATCATTTTAAGCTAAAGAAAAAACCATTAATTTAAAAAATATTTAGAAGTTTTGATGAGATGAGATAGTTAGAGGGTGAGTTGTTGGTCGATTATATATATATATATATATATATATATATATTTAATTAATTCATTTGATATTTTTAGAGTGTTTACTATTATATAGAATATTGTGGTTCTTTCACGTGAAATTGATATATATATATATAATAAAAAAAGTCTTCCAAGTTCTGCAATCTAAACAACCCAATTTTCTTTTATAAAATTAGACCATAAAAATATGGTTAGCGTAACACAGTCGAACCATTAATTCTGCAATTCAGTTATATTATTGGTTCGTACCCCACTTTTTCAAAGAATAACTACTAAACAAAGATCAATTTGCATTTTCAACAAGCTACAATAGTTCTTACGTTAAATAAAAAGAAACAAAGCTTACCTACATACGAATGTTTTAGAGCCCAAAGGCCACCCTCTGAGCGAAATCCAGTCGTCTTTTAGTGGGCATTCGAAGAAGACCTGTTATTTGGAGCTCTGTTACAGCCCTGCAAAACCGTGCTCTACAGCAAGAACGGTCAAGGATGACAGATTATAGTCGGTAAATAGAAGGATTTAGAGGCAGAGTGGCAATGCTAGGTTAAGGCAGGATATAACTTGTTGGATAAGGTATCCGCCTAAAATAGTTTGGTGAGGGCAGGCTATAACTTGTTGGATAAGGTATGTGCCTAAAATAGTTTTTTTCATAGAGGATCCATATCAAAAGGACGACATCATGAGAAACCAAAGACGATGAATGCATTAACAGTCTTTTTACTTTTACTTGGGCTGAGAACTATTGATTTGAATGATTGGTACCAATCGTGGAGATTAATAAGGTCGCCATGCTCTTTAGCAAGTTTATACCTAAACCCACACAACAGCAATACAAATGTTTCAACAAAGACACTCTATGAACAAGCAGAGAACTACATATTTTTTATGAACACTGATGAGAATTTAAAATCTATCCTTATTAGGGTGACTAAAGAAAAATTCCTGAAATTCATTGATATGTAAAATGCTTAAAACTCCATCAATTACAAGAGAAAAGGAGATAAAAGATCCATCCACCTTATAAATTGTCCCAAAAAAGATGATGTGTTGATAAAGTAAGCATGTCATCAATCTAGTCTCAAATGAATGGGTAGATGAACAAAAAGGAAAAAACCTAAATCCAATTTGCTCAAAGATTTTTCATAATTTGCAAATTGTGTAATTGAGGACATGAGATTACAGCCATTAACAACCTGGGAATCAAAAGTACAACTACAAATAGATGATGGCTACCATTTAAGTTTATATGAGCACTCTTGCCGATAACTGAAAATACAAAAAGTACTTACATAATGGATGTATCATGCATCGATGGTAATAGGCCACTGCTGCCATGGGTACAGCAACTGCAGCAGAGGAGTTTCTGGAATTCAAGAATATCAACTTGAATCCTTCTTCTAGGTTCCCCAATTAGAGCCTAATACAAAATCAAAATGCAGCACTTTGAAAACAATAATTCTTTTATGAGATATTGCTATGCTATAGATTATTGGTTATAGATATTCATATCCTGGTATGATTTTTGGGGATATGCAGAAAGGCATTTTGCACAACATTCATTTATGGTCATTTGCACTTTCAGAGCAGTAGAAAGTAATGCAAAGCCCACAACATAATAAACAATAACAAATTTGATCAGCACCGAATAGCCCTCCTATTTTCCTGTAGACAATAAAGGCTAGTTTGTAGTTTTGAGCAATTTTCATGAACCAAAGAGCAATGAAAATTGCTCAAAATTACAACCTGTTTCTGTTTCAAGAGTAATAAAAAATTGGTTATCAAATTTACAACAGCCAGGAATGTGTTAAGCAACATTCTTCGCAGATCTAGAAAAGTTTGCTTCAACATATTCAAATGCAAATTAAACCTCATGCTCACCAGTCAAAGCTTGTCAACATCTTTAAAACAGAAAATTTCATGAAAAGGTATGCACTCAATCGGACACATATAATCCCTGTTTCACACAAAATTACAAGCTAGTAATTTAGAAACAGTTTATTAGCACTATAATGGTTTTCACTGCATGTTAGCATGATGAGTCAGCAACAATGTTGCTCGTGCTTAGTCTGCATGGTGATGTTAGTTAAGTAGTTAGCAGCTTCTTGAAGTTAATAGTAGCAGTTAAGGTTGTTAACATCAGTTGTAAAAACTGTTAGGTTTATAATAATCATTAGAAGCTGTATATAAACAGCTGAAGTCTTGTAATCCAAGTGCAGTTTTGCAATGATCAATATACTAATATTTTTCTTTCTTTACTGCATTCCTAACACGGTATCTTTCGCCAAGGTTCTGGGCATTTTGTTTTAACGCTTCTAGATTTTCTTTCTTTCTGTTTTTTCACTCATGGAGTCGAGCATTGCAGCTGAACGAGTTGAATCAGAGAGCCCTAAGGCCAAAGAAGAAGCCAAAATTGAGGAGACTATCATCTATGGCGATTTCAACTTAGAGAACGGCAAGGAACCGATTATCATTGTTGTAGTTGTCACTGCCGATCACCATGCCAAGGTTGCTTTCACCATTTCTCCAGCGGAAATTGTCGAGTCAGTCCAAGAGACCAAGAGCATGAAGAACGATATGAAAAAGAAACAAAAGAATGAGGTGCAAGTCTCCATCACCAAGCCCTTCGTCTTCTATCTGAATACCAAGAGGTACATCAATGAGTTCAACGAGGTTGAACTTTGCGGCTTAGGAATGGCTATTCCTACTGTTGTCACCATAGTTGAGATCCTGAAGCGAAATGGATTTGCAATCCAGAAAGGAATAACGACATCGACTGTGCTCAACACCCATGAGGATCGAAAGGGTCGACAGATCGAGAAAGCTAAGATTGAGATAGTGCTGGGAAAAGCTGAGAAATTTGAGGCCGTCTAGAGTGAAAATGAAGAAAAGAAGGAAAAAGTCTTGAAGAAAAAAAGGTTGTTGCATGTTGCCGATTGATTTGTCTTAAGCTGGTATTGCTGTTGAATTATGGACATTTTTACCATAGATTTAGGTTGCTCGATTACGTTCAATTTACTTTCAGTTTGCATTTCTTTGTTACTTGTTCTCTTCTCTCACAAGGTGATCATGAAACTTTGAGGCTTAACAGTCAAGTTTACTTGGAAAGAAAATTATATGGGGAGGATTAAGTGTTTAACAGCCTTTTCCTCCTTAACCAGACAAAATATGGTGTTTTCTTGCCCAAGAGAGGCTTCAGATTACACCCGGATGCTCGTAGCTTAACCGCCTTGCTTCCAACAAAAAGAAAGTTTGAATAAGCGAGGAAGGACAGAAGAACTGAAGAAGTAGAGGGAATGTTAGCATGATGAGTCAGCAACAATGCTGCTCGTGCTTAGTCTGCATGGTGATGTTAGTTAAGTAGTTAGCAGCTTCTTGAAGTTGTTAGTAGCAGTTAAGGTTGTTAACATCAGTTGTAAAAACTGTTAGGCTTATAATAATCATTAGAAGTTGTATATAAACAGGTGAAGTCTTGTAATCCAAGTGCAGTTTTGCAATGATCAATATATTAGTATTCTTCTTTCTTTACTGCATTCTTAACACTGCACTATGCCATCTAGCCAAGGATATATAACCAGTTTTATAAAAAATGCAAATAAGTAGCCAGTGCCCTGAAATAGAAAGTGCATACCCGAAGTAAGAAATGTATAAAATTTCTATAATAAATAATAATGTAAATACTAATAAGGTGGCCGCAGCCAATTGCTTATGAAATAACATGAACACTTTTCATCCGGAGATAAAACGTATAGATACACAGCAGAATCAATTCCATCAAGTGTAACGGATAGAGAAATGAAATAGACAAACCAAAACAGAAAAAAGGTAAGGTATATAAACACGGATGCCCCTACCTAACCATATACTCTATCAGTTTAGCAGCTTTATCACTTAATGATTTCGAGTCTTCACAATATTCAATTGGATTCGAGATGCATGTATCCTGTAAAAGCAGTGAAAGAAAAGCAGTAAGCAATCAGGAAAGGATGGCAACAGTTAGAATATATTTGGGCATTATTTTAACAACTAACTAGTACCAGTAAATTCTGAAGAAAGCAGCTATTACATGTTTGCAACTACTGAACTTAGGAAGAGAACACTCACTTCTTGTGAGAAGTTAACATTGGAATTGAAAAATATTGATATTTTTTACAAGCTACAGAAGTATCAGCATCTAATAATCTCTTTTTTTATTTCCTTTATTAGACAGAGAGAACATTAAATAGTAACCAAACAAATCTAATAACTGAAAGTAGAGTAAAAGCCTGTATCACTAGATATTAAAAGGGATAAAAATTTAAAAAGATAATCTAAATCAAAATTTGCTCTAGAAAATAGTTTACCATATGATATATTGTAAATTCTTTCTAAAAAGAAACCAAATGGTTTCAGGTAAAGATGGTAAATCTTCAAGACTAGTGATGATAAAAAATCTGAAGATATCAAAACTAGACCTCAAGGCGGCATATATACATTCAAAAGACATTCAAAAGAAATTTCAATCCCAAGCTTATCATATTAAGTGATTAATTTTTCCAAATAAACATGTATTATTGATTTGTTGAAGCAGATGAAAAGGTAACAGTAATTACTTGGGTGTTATGGTCAAATCTTTCTTTGAGCTCTTTCCATCTTCTACTTTTAGTAAAGACAATAACTCCTTCACATTGTCATTTATCTATTACAAGAATCAAATAACTCAATGTCATCTGAACTGCAAGGTGAAAGGGAAGCAATTATGTAAAACAATAAAGAAACTAAAAAAAAGTAAAAATTTAACAAGATAAGAGTCAGAGGCCACATTTCCAATAACACCACTAGGAATTTGGATAACTTTTATCCCACGCTTTGTATCAACATTGATGTTATCGTATTCAGTGGAATCAATTATCACAAGATCCTTCTTTTATGGTTCTATTGATTCGTGGAACAAATGTTTGACATCAAAAGGACATTGCTCAATCTTTGCAGAGGCCTTATGCCTTTGTCCGAAAACATAAATCGCATCTGATGTTGGACTGCTAGCAGCAGGTTATCAACTTCAACATTACCAAACAATTCTTCAAAATCCCAAACTCCTGAACTTGTGAAAAAGACATTGTTCCAAGATAAAGTCTTGTGAAGATCATACTTAGGCTCAAAGCCATCAGTCTTTGTTCCTTCTTCATGTTGTTTTAGTTCAACTTTCGAAGCTATAATTAACCTTAAGACATAAGCACTAAGTTTCTATGGTGCTAAAAGATAGGTGATCATGTTCCTACCAAGCTTCAATATAGTGACAATAGAGATTCTTAGCTTACCACCTTCATCCGCATTAAATGTAGCCATCAAAGTGAGATGAAGAGAATCAAGAATTATAAAGTCAGGAAAGCCACTCCAAATGGTTACAGATAATGTACCCGGATCCCCATCAACTAACTCCAAATGACACATCGGATTTCCAGAATAGGTAATTAAAGATGATACCTCACGTAGAAATGGGTGCTTCATTTCAATATGAGCAATATTCACAACTTTAATTTGAAAAACATGGTGTTCTTTATGGGAGAATAAGTCTTTACCTTTCTTAAAAGTAGAGTGCTGCAATTTTACCATCAAGGACAACTCCATGTCTTTTCCACCAAGAACGATGATAATTGACGGTAATACAAATTTCAACAAGCGTCATGGGTTGATTGATCAAGCCCTCAAAATTTCCAACAATTGAGTCAGTATGACACGCCGAATTTTCTTGTGCTTTCCTTGATAGGGATGTTGTTGATGATACAGGTGCCAATGATCCATAAAAAGAATGTATGCCACCATGATTCAATCTACGTTTATCCAGAAGCTGTGACACTAAATATTTAAGTTGCTGACTCGTACTAACTATAACATAAAGTGGCATCTCTTCAATCCCAATTTCAAGTACAAATGATCTTGGATCATGGTGTACGTTTATCAATTGATGATGGTTTCTCCTCCATCCCGTATCATAGTAAGTGACAATTCTCTTTCCCCATTCTTCTGGAATCTTCATTCCAGATGTTACTTACTTGAGCATTCTCTGAAATGGTTTGCTCTTGTTCCTCTACGTCCACTAGATTTTCCCACGAAATAAATTTACGAAACCCAATCATATTATCATTTTGTTGTAGTCGTGAATCAACTTTCATGGTGCCAATGATGGATGGAATTGCATTAAATATTCTTGTTGGCATTTTATCAAATACTTTATACTCAACATTTGTGCCTTCTACTGCCATCGGTAACATCTGTTTAGTTTTAGGGTTTAGTGGTACTTGATCATATGTCCTTCATGTTAAGTCCCTTAGAATTTGCTCCAAACGACTCTTATTTATTGTGATCATTGTCTCCTGGTACTGATCTTGTTTCACTAGCTTTGATAGGTCTTCAATCTGCTGTTAAATCGCTTAAAAATAGAGGATTCAGTCGTTGTTTTGTCAGGAGTTATGGCTCTGGATATCAATTGTTATGACCCTGCGAAAGAAGAAGAGTAATCGAAGAAAATAGAGGAAGAGTAATCAAAGAAAATAGAGAAAATGGAGATTAAAGAAAAGAAAGGAATTCAAGAAAACTGAAGAAAATATTTTTCCCTGAAGCTACTCAAACCTATCTTCCCTCTTTCGAAAGTTAATGGTCAAACACCCCAAAATAAAAAATAAAATAAAAACACCTTTTATGTAGAAAATGAAGAAAAAAAAGGCACAAAAAAGTAACATGAAGATTATTTTCGATGAAGGCTTCATCAATGGTTGAAGGAAGCGAATCGTCAGTTAAAGAAAAAGCCATTGATTTTGTCATATCTGGAGGCAGAAATGAGGAGAGGGAAAGTGTAGAAATCTCGGTGGCTAATGTTACAAACGTTAACATTTTAAATGTCCATACCATGAATATTACTAGTTTTTTCCGTCATGTGACACATTTAAGAAATCAGTATTTTAAATATATATATATATATATATATATATATATATATATATATATATATATATATATATATTTTAAAAAATAAAAATTATACATTTCTAAAAAAATACATAAATTTTGAAATAATCTTTAAATTTTGAAAATTTTTATTTTAACCTTTAAACTCATGCTGACCGCCACCCTTTGCTATCGAAGAAACTCCACTCTACCTCTCCTCCCCATGGAGATCAAAACCCCTATGATATCGTGACTGGTTGATAACCGATTAACGACAAATCAACAATTTAAATCTCGTGAACCCTAAGATGAAAATCACGATCACACACGATTCCGACGATGAATCGACAACAACTACGATAGTATATAACTATGATGATGGTAAAAACTACGTATTATACGTTTACTCAATTTCACTTATTGTATTTTTAATTTTTCAATTTACTTACGGAAATTTAGATATTAAATATTTTTATCCACTATTCCGTCAGTTTATTAACATTGACGATGTGACATTTTAACTCAAACTTTTACGTTTTATTAGACTTTTCAACTTTCTAATTTTTTTTTCACTCATTCACGTCAACATTTCATTGTTATTAGTGTCTGCTTCTCTCACCATCTTCTTGCACTCCTCCAAGCTGCAACTCTCCCCAAGCCGAAAATATCAGGCATAGACAACACCATGAATAAACAGCAAAAAGAAATGCACTTCCACAGAAGGAAATTAGCCGAGGAGAGAGAATCAGTTACCTTTCGATCTTTTCATTTCCTGAAACCTAATTGGGGTTAAGGTCTCTTTTACACTCGCCTTTATTATATAAGTGAAAGGGCTTAGCTACAGCTTGGAAATCAAAAGAAATGGTGAACGGACGCCCAGAAGAGAGAGTCAGGCACTTTTCGATCTTTTTATTTCCATATTTTAAAAAGTCTTAACATTTTCCAATTCCCGGTTTTAATATATGGAATATAGTTATTAGATTTTATGAGCTCTTATCTGTTTTCATTTTCATTGATTTTTTAATGCAGACTCTATGTACGAGGAACCATCTTGGGTTACAATTGGTAACAAAAACTTGGTTTATTTTAGGTGCTCTATGCCATTTTCATTTTCCTGAGTTAAGCTTCTTTTCTGTGGTGGGGGATTAGAAAACAAATTACTGAATGAGATTCAATATTTGATTAGTGTATTAGTTAAATGACCTGATCATTCACTTTATTAAATTACCTTGTATGGTTTTTTAAATGTTAAACTGAGTGGAAGAACTTGATATTGATATTGGAGTTCCTTTTGATTTTTTTTCGTGTGTTGTTGCTTATGATTTGTTCGGTGCATGGGTGTTAGGTCAAAGTCGAACCAGTATCCAAACATTTCTTCGATCCAAATTGAGAGAGTTAACACCAAGGCGAAAGTAGCTTGGTATGCCGTATGCACATGGCTTATTTTTACAAGGCTAAAGCGAAGAAGAATGACACACTATCGCTGCATTTGGGGAAAGGTTGCTAGACCTCATGGTAACAGTGGGGTTGTTCGTTTAACAAGATAAGAGTCAGAGGCTCGGAGCCTTCATTTACTCCAGCAATATATGAGGTAATCTTCACTTGGAAGCAGTGAACAGTAATGGCGATGAAATAGTTGACATGGATGAGTGAAAAAAGAGGAGAAATTAGAAAGTTGAAAGGTCATAAAACGGAAAAGTTTGAGTTAAAATGTCACATCATCGCTGTATTAATAATTAAGTGATTAAAAATATTAAATGTGTAAGAAAATTAAAAAAATTAAAAGTATGAGTGAAAATTTAAAGTTGAGTGAGTAAGCATTTAATTTATTATTTTTTATAAATATAATAATATTTTTAATATTTTTTTAAAATAAAATTTAAAATTATCAAAATTGTGAAAAATGTCACTTAACGAAAAAAATTAAAGAAGTTCACTATCCAAACACCTAAAATATTAACGTTGAACACCTAAAATATTAACGTTTGTAACATCTAATAGATAAAAAAATATAGACGATTATTTAACACAAAAATATAATTTGATCACTTATTTAAGGCATTAACTCTTAAATGAATTATACAATACCCATGGAGACCCCCAAGCATGAGCAGCTAAGAAGAACGTTGCAATAAAAGACAAAATTGACCCCTGTGCAAAAAATAACTAACTGTGCTGTAATTAGTTGATATAGGCAGAAATGGTGTATTGATAATTTTATGCAAAATCTAATGAAATTCAGCATTTTCGTCCATCTTTTTCTCTTCTATTTCCTTAGATTTACAGCTCCAGTTGCGACATATCTCGGTATTGATAGTTTCGAATCGATAGACTTCGGATGAATTTTTATGCCGCTTTTAGGGTTCATGACTTCTGTTTTTGGGATGCCTCAGGGGTATAAATGTCAAACAAAATTAATTCTCTGGATTTTGGGCTTTTTTTCTGGATCTTTGTTGGTCTTCAATATCCAAAATTGAACATCCCATAATAGACATACTTCAAACTTTACATCAAATGGAATTTAGTTGAATTTATCTAAACTCATTGGTAAATTTTAATTTAGTTTAATGTTGATTTTTAATATAGTTATAAATTTGGGTTTATTTATTTTTAAATCTTGATTTTTATGAAATCATAATCCTTAACATGGCTTATATATATATCTGGTTCTTTTA